CTTCCTTTCCCCAAATCCCTCTATCTATCCATCTACCTATCTATCTACCACCCACCCACCCAACCTTTCTAGGGCTCATTGTCTTCGTCCACAATGGGCTTTGCTCCCTAGTGTGTGTGTGTGTGTGTATCAAGTCACAGCCAGCTTAAAGCAACCCTGTATGGTTTTCAAGGAAAGAGACATTCAGAGTTGGTTTGCCATTGCCTGCCTCTGTGTAGTGAACCTGGTATTCCTTGGTGGTCTTCCATCCAAAGACTAACCAGGGCTGACCCTGCTTAGCTTCTAAGATCTGATGAGATCAGGCTGTCCTGGGCTATCAAAGTCAGGGTGTCCTTTCATATACCTTGGTGCCAAATGGGGGAGCTCTGCTATTGGCTAAATACAATGAAGAGCTAGGATCTGGGATGAACAAAAGTGTAGGATCCTGCTCCCTGTTAGTGGGTTTGAAAATTTGGTGAGCAGTGAAAGTCCAAATACAGTCATAAGGAATAGTTGGTGTATGGGGTATCATCAAGTGAGGTAGTAGGGGACAGTAGAATGATCTATGTGGGTTCATTAAATTGCTTGGGTGGAAGACTGGTCCTCCCCAAGCCATGACTGGTTTATCAAGAAATACGACATTGTGAGGAAGAATCCTAAGAGGTTTGTTTCTTTGTCCTGCCAGTTTGGTGTAGTGGTTAAGTGCGCCTCCACTTGCACGTGGCTGGATGACCTTGAGCAAGCCGTAGTTCTGATAAGAGCTGCTCTTGAAAAAAGAGCAGTTTCTGTCAGAGCTCTCTCAGCCCCACCTACCTCACAGGGTGTCTGTTGTGGGGAGGGGAAGGGAAAGGAGTTTGTAAGCCACTCTGAGACTCCCTTGGGTAGTGAAGGGCGGGGTATAAATACAATCTCTTCTTCTTCTCTTCTTCTGCAAACCTGTTTCGCTGATTATGGCTGTGAATGTGAAGTTCTCTGAAGGGTCAGACAAAGGAGCCTTGAGTAAAGTTCCCCTGGAATAGTCAGGCTACTCCCTTTTGAGAATGCCTGGGGAATACCTTCCTTGATTGAGAAGCCCAGTTTTAATATCAGCCTGGATGGATGTTCCTTGCATCTCTGACATCTGAAGACCAAAGGATCTTGGGGTGCCCATGTTGTGGGTTTCATTGTAGGGAGATAAGGGCACTCTGGAAGGGCAACAAAAGCTGAGCAGAATTTGTTAAAACACCTCCTTTGACCCAATCTTTTAATAATAGGGTTATTCTATGAGCTTTGTAGATAAGCCTGTGGTTTATGGTTATAT